ATCTCGAACAACTCGCCAACCTCCACAAAGCCATATAGGAACAAATACCGATTCACTCCTTTCCACCAGACAAAGATATCAAAGTCGTAAATGAAGAAATTGACAAATTAATTGCCCTCGAAAAAATTACCAATAAAAAAAACATATGCGACACTACCAAAGCAAACATAGATTAAGCCCTTCGAAATTGTAACAACTGGTTTGACATGGACAAAAAGAAATTCATAAGATCACTCCTAGATGATCCCAAGAAAAGCATTCTCACAACCAGACTTATTAAAGAAGAGGGAGACACAAAAATCCTAGTATACAAATCTCATGAAATTAAAGAAACAGTTAGATCACACTTCAAAAACTGGATGAAGAGGAGACATATTTTTGAAGTACAAGGCACACACTGATAGAACACATACCAACCTATTATCACCATTCATGAAGAATAGTATGATTCTGCACTTACTCCATTTACCACCGAAGAGGTACAATAAGTAATCAAATACTCTAGTAATAAATCAGCTCTAGGTTCATCACAAATCCCATACTTGGCATACAAATATCTTAACATGGAGACGATGGCAGTCATAACCACACTCTTCAACAACATCCTCACCTATGAGAGGCTACCCACTGAATGAAAATAAGGAATAATATACCCAATACCCAAACTGAAAAATTAGCAACATAATATCAATATCACCTGACCTATCACCCTTTTAGAATCGATCAAAAAATATTCACCAAACTCATAAATAATCGCCTAGCCAAAGTAATAACTGAACACCCGATCTTATCTGAAAACAACTGGGCAGCACTATCCAAAAGCAATACCTGCGAACCCATTACCATCATAAATCAAGTACTAGAAGATGCACGAGAAACAAACAAACTGTAACATATTCAATGTTAGGAAGTTATTTCATCATTATGTATCTTAGTTAAAGGAAAACTTTATTAAATGTAAACTAGAAGCAGACAACTCTGAGTTGTCAGTAAAGGAAAAAGACAGCCTTTAAATACATGTTTTCCCAACATAAATAAATATAATAAAAATACATGAAATAATATACATATAATCTTAGTGGTTCTCCCGGAAAATCATATGCATGTAATTAATAAAAAAGAAAATAAAATAAAAAACAATATGATAAAGACAATCATAATGAAACACAATGTTAAACAAGTATGTCTATGATACCTCTTGTTTCCCCTGAATGGCAAACACCACTATTACTATGAATCTATTGGTGTTTGTCTATATGCTATTAATAATTCGGGTCTCGTGTCACCTCGGAGCTTCGGATCGGCGGTAAGGTCATATGATCTGAAATATCATATGTTCTAGCAAATCATCATTGTTTCACGGCTGGAGGTCTAAATCCTTGATTATCTTGAAATCCTATTGAACAATATCTTTTTAATCTTTAATAAAAGATGTTTGTCATATCAAAATACCTATAGTTTCCTAATACTGTTTTAGCAGTTGTTATCTTACTTTCAAGTGTAAAGTCATGCTTTCATCTTGCAACTTAGGTAAACTTGTTACACAAACAATGCCTCATGCTCTTACAAGACATGAGTAAAGCATATGATACGGTTAATATATAGAGATTAACGAATGCACTCCAATGAATCAAGGTGCCAAACAAACTAATCAACATAATCAGCAACTGCTTTCTAAACTGATTAAACAAAGTAATAATATATTTCGGGCTCACCAATCTATACCAAGTGTAAGAAGAAATCGATCAAGGTGATACAATCTCACCTCTCCTCTGGTGCATATACTATGACCCCCTAATAAGCACAATCAGCTCCATGAAAGGCTATCAGCTCAACAGCCACAGACCTAATCGTGACAATGGCAGCCCCACAAATCTCAACATCTTGGTTACAGCATATATGGATGATACCACATTTATTGCTCAGAGTAGAGAACAACTCGAAGACATTATGGAAGTCAGTGCCTCCTTCTATCACCTCAATAATATCACAGTCCTTCCCCTCAAATTAGAACTCTTAATCCTCAATGGATCACAAGAAAGTATCCCTTTCCAGGAACACGAAGTATTACAAACTACTAAAACACAAGCAATAAGAGTTCTAGGGGTATAGCATGAAAGAAAAAAAGGAAAACAACACCAATGCAGCCTCATTAAAAGGAAAGTCATCACAATCTGCAATACAATAGCTAGAAAACAAATTATGAACAAGATGCACCATTATATTACAAACCATGTTCTTTTCTTCATGATAGAATATCTGTTAACAGATCTGGTACTAATGAAAAACGAAACACAATGGATAGACCGCCGCATTCATAGCTGTCTCAAACATTGCACCCAACTCCCAAAAACTGCTCCAACCCCAGTAGCACATCTCCGCAATCAGTACAACATCATAGAAATAGAAATACGACAACAACAGAAACATTGCAATAATTTTCAAGAACTATACCACAGTAACAACTTGGCAGGACAAACAATCAGACTCAGAACCCAACAACTTCAGTGGATGGCATGGCAAAAAGAGGATGTTCTCAGGAAATGCCCAAAAATCCAGCCAGTAAAAGCTAACTTAATACAGGATATACTCAACAATATACAGACCCAAAATATTACAATACAATGACCAGAAGTATCAATGACAGACTCACTTTCATAGAAGATATTATGGCCAGCGAATGGTACAACCTCAATAGAAAAGGACTAAGAACATATAACATAATATGGATTGAACAACTTCTCAATACTTATCATATAAAGGCCCTAAACTGACACCAAGTAGGAGCACTCCACAACAAAATGAAAAGAGAAAACAACCCTCCTTTTTCATAACACTTAAGGCTACAACAAAAATCTATATTAACAATCACACATTATTCAACAAACTCAACCCGGAAATACAAATCAGACATGACACAGATAACAGACAAGGACAGTAAAGAAACTCCAGCAAATCATGGTATATTCTTCAGCGACACCAAACTCTAACTCTCGGAAAACAAGTGAGTCAAGAAAAAAACCATACCAAGCTATGACACTACCTCACCACAGACACTTCACCATTAATAAAATGTCCAGGATGTGATCTCAATCAACAAATAGATAAAAGAAGCCACATATGCTGTTTCAGAGTTCTAACAAACTTACTTTATCAAGTCCCGGTAATTAAAACATCAAAGACAAATACAGGAACCTCTGCAGAGTCACACTTCAGAATCCAGATCTCACCCAATAGTATACAACGATGGCTCAACGAACCCAATCAAATGCTGGAGGCAGTGAAGATCAACATAACACCAACCTCTATTAAAAACATACTACAATTCATAGCTCTATCAGATTCATCATAATAATAACCCATAGACATTAACAAAAATATCAACACAAATGAAACTATCAAGATAACCATTGACGAAGCTTTCAATCACAAAAACATCAATACCCTAGGGGTGTGTATCATCTTTTTAACCAGTTCAACACAACAAAACAATCTCAACCTTAAAATTACGGGGCAATGCTTCACTTTTAGAGCAGAGATCATAGCTGCAACCATTACTCTTGGAGTCCTACCAGTCAGACAAAAGGTACTCTTGCACACAGATTTAGCAAAACTCATATCGGAAGTCAAAAAAGCAACATCAGGATAAATCAAGAACATATCCAAAGCAGGTCTCATTCATAACCTACACAACTGCATCAGAGCAGCCCAAATCTCGGTCAACTGGATCAAAATCAACAAAAAAGACAACAATAATGAAGAACTGAAACAAGCCGACAAGTTAGCCAAACAAAGCCTGAAGAATATCAACAATAGTTGGATACTAGTACAGAACAACTTGAATCCCAATATTATTACCTTCAGCTATAACTAAGAGTTCGAGATCACTGACACTATCTGTAAAGCAATCAGAAAAATGTGACAAGCCATACTCACACATAAATGGATTACGCTTGATTGAAATTGCACACTAAACCAACAGCAAAAAGATGACATTGACTGGAAACAGTCACTCCAACTTCTTCACCCCACAAAGATCGCAAGTAACCACACAGATAGTATAGATCATAGCCACAGAAAATTCGCTATCAAGCTATGGAACTTGGAACTTCCAACTATAGACAAACTATACACCTACAGACCTGACATCTCAAATATTCCACATGTTTTACCGGCTCAAAAACAGAAGATAATATTTATCCCTTCAGATGCAAACACTATGGAATCCACATCAACAAAATGATACTAAACACCATATACTCTGAAACCACTGCTTGGACCGAAAAAGGAAGCCCACACTCCTGCAAAAAGGTGATCGAAGATCACTTAGAAAATAACGACCTCTGGGACATCTTCATCAGAGGAGGAATCAGTAGAAAAGTAATCCAGACAATTAATCAATTTATCCCATCTGACCAAATAGCAGAAGCCACTCACAATATAATTTACAGAATTAAATTCATTACTTTCAATATATGGACAGATAGATGTCTCCGTATTCAAATATGGGAGAAAACCATGGGAATAATCAAAACCCTTAAGAAAAAGAAGCACAAATCCAAAAGTCAAACAGCACAGAAAGATGTATCCATCACAACACTACACACAACAACAATGGAAGGAATCATCGCAGATACCCTAAACATTCTTGATATCTTCACTAAACACATTGATGGAGCCTAGGCACGTTAGTCCCTCTAACCAGGTACAACAAGCCACAAAGGGTCAAAAAATCTAGCCTCACTGTCATTGATGGTGGGTGTCCACCACTAATTGGTTTTATTGTTTTGCTTAACATTGAAAATAATTTATACAATCACTCTGTAAATAAATATAAATATATTGCATAAATTCAATAAAATAGGCATGTTAAGTGTTTCAAAAAAAAAAAAAACAAAATGATATGCGATACTTTTGTCCAAGTAGTGTATAATATATTAGATAATTACTTGTTAAATAAAGATTTTTAGTAAATATATCAAGAAATACAAGATTATGATATGGTCATGAACTATTTTAAAATTTTCTTGACAAAATTACATTAAACTTTTTAATGAAAAGTTCACCAAAAATCCCATGTTTATTTTATTTGAATATTTGTTTATTGTGTATTAAAAGTGCTTTCAAAAATAGAATGAAATTAAATTTCTTAGACAAGAGAATAATAAACCAATTGCTAAGATTACTGGGCTTGAGGTTGAGAATGCCAATGTTAGAACCAATTATTATAAGACTATAAATAAGGTTATAAATCTAAAGGCTGAGATCAATAATAAAATAGAAAAGTTAAAGAAGTGTATAATAGATACCATTTCTGAAAATGCTATATATATTAATTTACAATAAGTATTTAGTATAAGGTTGAAATAGTGAAGCTAATAGATAGCTATAAAGAAATCAATCAGTAAATTCATAATACAATGGTTTGAAAAAAAAAACTGATATTTTTCTTAATAAGTTAAGATTATAAAAAATTTTTTAAACCAATTAAACTATAAATTTAAAAACTTTTTTTTTTTTTTAACTGGCAAAGTCTTGCCATTGAGTTTTTATTTATTCATTAATACAGGCTTATATATACAAATTTAATTGTGAGTCTATATATTTATGAAAGGAAAAAAACACCATGACTCAGTATTCTATTACTAGAATCCCTGTGACTTGCTGCAGTTCACCTTAATGGGTGCTAGTGTGTCAAGACTCCACTAGCACTAATATTGATTGAAAAGAAAAAGAAAGTGAAGTAACTATTGTTAAGGGTGTTTTCTGTTATAATATTTGTAAGTTTTATGTATAGTTTCCCAAGCCTGTCCTTAAGGTATTTGTTCAGATCTATTTGGACTCATTCAGGCTTTTGATTGACTCGAAGGATTTGATGGCTTGTGTGATTGGTGAATCTAGACTCTGTGGTATTATTTGATGGTTGGCTGTATTTCGTTTGGCCTGTCGCTTCCTACGCTTGAGTTTTTTCCCTATGTTTTAGCTTTTTTCTCAACTGATTGTAATATCATATCTCTATTTCCATGCTTCTTGCTTGGCTTGCCAGAATTTGTATATTGCTTTTTGATTGCATCTAGTGCTCTAGTTCTGTCTTTGGTTATAGATTCTGCTACTTGGATCATGCCATGTGTTATGACTCCCCTAATGATGTTCTTCCATTCAACTTGATGCCATGCTTGAATGTTTTCATTGTACTCCTGTGTTATTGATATTCTTTTTCATTTGTTTTGGATCAGTTCTGTCTGTTTGCCTTCAGCTCTTGCTGCACTTTCCTCTGTTAAGGCCTGTAGATAATCTTCCTGAAGTTTTGTTTGTATTGTGCCACATTGGAAAATATGATGGTCTATAGGCTTAATTTGAAATTTTATTAATCGAAACTGTTGTATTATTACAAATGGGTAGTTGTACATATATGTTATAGTAAATCATATCTATATGTATAGCTATATATATATTTAAACTAATGCTATGTACTTATACTACCAGCCCAACAATAAACTGGAAGCCCATGTGATTCCGTCTTAATTATTTCTAGAACAATTTTTTCTTAAGAGTATTCTAGTTATCAGGCCATCGAATTCAATATCCTGGATCCTGGTTTTTGATTCTTCGGAGTGGTCCACAGATTTCTCTTCCCACCAAAGCCTCCCGATAGTCAAATCTGTGCAAGCCTTCATAGCCACATGTATAAGGACTGAGACTGGCTTATTCTGAAAAAGTCCTTTGTTTCGTATGAGTTCTGTACTAAGCCATTTATATTACCAGACAAGTTATGTTCTTGTTTTGGTCCTGAGAGACATGCTACCAGTTTATGGATCTACTCTTCTTGTTACTATTTTGGTAATGCAGTTGTGTCAATAATGATTCTATCCAATCCAGATCATAGCCTGATCACAATCTAGATATAGACTAGATGCAATATTTAGAAACATCAGTTAGTTTATGATTACACCAGTGGACGGATTCAATTCCTCGATCTGTTTTGTATTGGGGTGAAATTGAAACTGGATCTTGTAATCTGACCTATGGAGTGCTAACCACTGCACTATCGACCCATAGGTCTTTTAAATTTAAAAACTTAAATATTTAAAAATTAATTTTACTTAAGACTATTTTATAATTTATATTGTTATTGTTTTATATTTTTATTTTAATTCAAAAATTTTATACTATATTAATATATTAAATATATTTTAGTCTGTAATTATACTGCTATTATATATTATTATTGAGATACTTAAAAATATTAAAATATATTACAAACTATTACAATGTGACTAACTTATCATTATATATTATTAGTTGAAGAATTATACTTAAAAAATATAAGAAGTCTACTAAGTTAGTTCAGACTAAAAAAAACCAAGTCTCAATTAGATACTTTAAGTCAGATTCAGAAAACACTATTATATTTCTTCAGTAATTTGGTAATGATCTCTAATTACTATTAATATTATCAACAGTTTGCACTCTCAAAAAACAATAAATTGTTAAAGTAACTGAGAAATATAAATGATAAAAACAATTTTAATATTTTTAAAAGGTTTTTTAATTTATTTATTGATCTCTTCTCAAAAAAAATTGTCTAATTAAGATATTTTTCATGCTTTGCTTAAGTATTGAAAGAGATTCTTTTTTGTTATTATCTACAATATTATAGACAGGTTACTATTTAAGCAAGGAATATCCCAAGAAATAAGAAAAATATCAACTTTTTTTCTTAAAAAAAGTTTTTTCTAATTGAAGAACTTATACTATATATAAAAAGGGAAGATAAACTAGTTGAATTACTATCTATAACACATTTTGATATTATAATTATTTTATAGAAGAATATGCTCAGTTGATAATAAAAATCTTCCAGAACTTTTTTTATATATTATTATTGATATTATTAAATATAATTATAATAAAAAAAAGCTTGTTTACTTTTTTAATAATTAATATATTTTGTATTAACTAATTATCATTGATAAGAATTTAAGTAATTCAAAATTCAATTTAAATTGAGATGCCAAAATTTTTCAGAAAACTATAAAAGAGAGAACTTTAAAAGAACTAAGATAGTTCAAAAGAAATAAATAGGATTTTTGATCATAACAAACTTTTATAAATCTTACAATTCAACAATAAAAAAGATTTTTAAGTATTTGACAATCAATTTTTATTCCTTTAAAAACTTTTTACATTGATATCAAAGGTATTATTTAACTTTTCTTAGTTACTAGAATCAAGTTTTTTAGTAAAGAAAGTTATAAGCAATAGAAGAAAAGTAAATATAATTTTTGAAATATACTTCAATTTATTTTAAAGAAATTGGTAAAACTTTATTAGCAAGAAAATATAAAAACTTCTTTTGAATATTTTTTTTGTATATAATTAGAGAATTAGTAGAAAGAGTTTTAAATACTATATTAAATATATATTAAACTTATATTTATAATTTGACTATTTACCGATCTGCAGATCAATTGTGTAGTAGGTGTACTCTCAAATTACCATCCACGAATTACTGGTTCAACCCCACCTAGGAACAGTTTTCGCAATATAGATTACATTATATAAGATGCATGCTCATTACCACATATACCTTTGTACTCACAGATAACCTATAAATATCCACTGTCTGACCATGGTATAAAACTCAGGTCATCCAAGCCTTGATCAGTTTTAGCGCTAAGGAAAATCTTCAATATATCTACCACTTAAAATATGTAAGGATCCAAGACAAGCCAGGAAAAATGATAATTAGTTCAAGCCTCTTAATGGATATGGGAAGGACATTTATCTCTTGTCAAAACTACACCCTATGGGAGATAAGGGAGACTTCAGTCATTTGTACCTGTCGAAATGTAACGGGCTGTAACAATAATTAATAGAAGACAACTATAGTCACAAAACCAATGGCTACAAAAAAAGACAGCTATTGTGGGGGCTGGTGATTAGTGTTAGCACCACATTGGGAACTAGCAGGAGCAGACCCTGGGAAAAGAAATTCGGAAACAATCACCAAGGTAACCAATCAATAGGAGGAGCAATACATTACAAAGTAATCAAGAGAAACCCCTATTAACTAACTTACAAGAGTGATTAAAAATGAGGCAATGGAAGGCTATATGCCACCCAATTGCATGACACCATTGAATTGCCTGGATATCAAGAACATGGCTGGAGGATTGTGCTATCTAAGTTTCAACTAGCGTGCAGAGAATCCAAACATGGTAGGGATAGTCTACAGTATCCATGACCATCGAACAGTACACAAAGACCTCACTAAGAAACACACAACACAAGCTCCTTGAAGATTAATATGAAGTCTATAGTGGATCTTCGAAATACTACAGTTCCAGGCAGAGCAGGGAAACTGTGAAAATGGTATCACCATATGGTAAAATTGATAGACTTGGCTAGGATAGGTATTGTAGTTTAAGAAAAGATTATATGAATTGCTATATAATTTAAATAATGTACTACTAATTCCTCAATAAAGATTCGTCCTGTCAGTTTGACTATTAAAAAAAAAATAATAATTTGACTATTCAAAATATTTATATATATTATTTATATTTAAATAAAATGAACCTGACAAAAACTATAAATTATACAAGACTTAAGAAAATAAAGAAACTCAACTATGCAATAACCAACACCTTCAATTATATTAGGATATAATAGGACCTATATATAATATTACATAAAGTGAAAGTATACACTGGAATCTCCTTCAATGAAGAAGTAGACAGGCTAGCTAGTATTGATCCCATCTCACAGCATATGAAACCCAATCAGAAAATCATAAACATAAAGGGACAATATCAGGGTTCATCACTAATAGAAATAATTTGGGACATAATATCAATAGAGATTTTGAAAAAGAATCTAGTAAAACAAGTTAACAAGGTCATCAGATTGACCAAGTAAAAATTGCTTAATAGAACATGAAATAGTTTCACAGATGAGAATATTAGAGATATATACTAATAGTATTTGTTTGACACTATACATCTATCCAAAATGAATACACACAACACACTATGCCTTTATTGTCACATATGAAAGTTTGGATTCAATCTTTGATATAAAAAGCTTCCAACTTTATCAAGCTATACAGCAGATTCTCCTCAATCTAAAAGATATAAATGAACTAAATATAGAATGTTTGAAGATAGAATACACTCTTTTCTATATATTAATAACATAAAAGCACTAAAGAAAAGCTTTTACAGGATTCTAATTAAAAATACTTTTACATAGATTAAAAAGAAACACAAAAAAAACTTCAAGGATATTATATACAAATGGATCTAACTGGACAATCCTAGAAAGCCTAGACTCCTTATAAAGAAGCAGTTCTGAAGGAAATACCAGAGATACTTAAG